AAATAGGATCATTTTATTTTTTGATATTGATCAGATAACAATATATTGAGTGAGAACCATTATACTCGATTATAGACATTGTACAAGATTTTAAGAAGACAAACAAAAAGTGAAAGTTTTAAAATGGAGATTTGAATAGGAACTAATCAAGGTGAAATCTAAATTGGATGATCACTCGAGATTGTCAAAGGACTAGGAAATGTTGAAGCACATGGTGAATAAGATAAGCTTTTTAACTTCCTCGCCTTGGACATTTGTCGGACTGGCAATTCCTTATCTGGAAGATGAAAAAAGTTGTCATTCCTCATGTCGTACCAGGAACTTTCCGCTGCTTTCAAATTACAAACCTTTTTAGGACTTGACAATTTTGTATTGGTACCGGGATCAACAGTGACAATTTTTACAATCTGTACGATTGTTACAATTTTCAGAGTCTACGCATTTTTTACAATTGTTACAACCTGAACATCTTAGACAATCTTGACAATTGTTACATCTTTCACAATCTGTACAAGTTTTACAATTTTGTGAATACGAACAATTCGTACAGTCGATACAATTTTGACAGTCTGAACTGTATACACAATCTGTACAATTGGAACAATCTTTACATCTCAGACAGTTTGCACAATTGGAACATCTTTTACAATCTTTACAGTTTTTACAGTTTTGTAAATATGAACCATCGGTAGAATCGGTACAATTTGAACTGTTCGAACAATTCCTACAATTTGTACAACCTACACAGTCTGTACAATATAAACAATATGTACAATTGGCACATCGATTGCAGTCTGTACTGTTTTTACAATTTTGTAAACTTGTACCATTCGTACAATCGGCACAATTTTGACAACCATGGCAATTTGTACAATTGATGCAGTTCGCGCAGTTTGTACAACCTACACAGTTGATACAATTTTGATTACCGTCAGAACCATCAGTACCAGTAGAAGGCGTGATTAGGCTGACCATAAAGACCGAAACCAGAATAAAAATATGACTTTTGAGATACATTTTAGAGGAAATGGAAATGTAATGATAATTATAATGTGTAGCAAACAACTTGAAATTAAACTCGTAAAGGGTTGTTGTTATGGAATAGCTTTAATACTATTCATTTCAATTGAATATGTTCACTCTTCTCCCTCTCATCCTGCTTATTCATGCTTATTTTTAGCCTTTTCTGTAAATTCGATTTAATCTATTTGATCAGATTTACTATCAGATTCATTAATAAATATCGAACAATCAAATTAATATTACCAGAGAAAGGCAAATTAACATGATCACATTTACTTTTTACAACTTGTCAGACAGTTTTTCATGCAAATAGATGGCCACATTCATCAACGAAAATCATCAATTTTTTAATGTTAAAAACTGATTCAGTCATCTTTTTGGCTTGAGTGTAATTTTAGTTTGATAGCTTTGTTAAGTTACCCCAAAATGAGTGACTGACAAGTTCGGTTGACTTATCATTCAGTTATTATGTGTTTGTGATTTAGTTGGGTTTTCAAACAACTTTTTGATCTAACAATTGGTAGAAAAAATAGTGAAATGTTCTTTTATGAATAAAAGGTGTTCCATAAGTAAGGCGACAATTTACAAAACTAAATCATTTTAATCCCAATCGATGAATCGCTTTGGATTTTTGGAATATCAAAGATGATAGTTTAAACAATATGAAAATCAAAATAGAATTGGTTTCTACCAACGTTTGCTAATTTTATGTAACTCTATTTGAGGGTGAAAAATAAATTGTTTCAAGTCGAACCCTACAGCACTTAACCAAGACGACCCAAGAAAAAATCGAGAAATGTTTAATTAATGAATGATCATGCATAATATTAGTTATATTGTTCCATAGTAACAAAGATGAAATTGTGTGACAACAATGAAGTTTATCATTTTCGTGATGCTTTATCGAAAATAGGCCAGTTTCTGAGGAGTGGCTGATGAAAATGGATCATTTTATCAGATTTTTAAACTTCAATGTAACCTTTTTACTTTGTCATGATAGCTTTAATCACTAAATCGATACACACGACCCCATGCATTTCAATCTATTTCCAGATACATTCTCACAGATACGCTTATCTCGAGAAGCAAACAATATTCCGAAAAATGGATTAGATTGATGAATTTAACATGAAATTTTGCATCCAACATGTTAACAACAGAAAAATTGATAAGCAATTTACTTTATTCTTCTGATCTTCATCCTTGAAACATTTTTTGTTCAAACAAACTCTGATTTTTCTGATATAATTGAATCCTTTTGATTATTATTGAATCTAAATATAATAAATGATTTAATCTTGATAGCTTAAAACAGGCCATTGTCTTTCATTTTGTGTAAACAGGTATCACGTTTATCAGGTATGAACCAAAATTATGCCGCATGATTTGCACAAGCTATCGAACAATACAATTTTGATAAATGCCCATGCAGGCCTTTGCATGACCAGTTAAGGTATATCGATTTATATTGAATTATACTTGGCTTATTATTCGTTATCAACGTTATTTGTTAAATTTTTTACAGAGTCTCAAGACACTTCAAAGCAGAGAATGAGTCAAGAATGGCTGAGTTCAATGAAACTTAATGCGAAGAGAACAGCACAAATTATTGCTTAAATTAAATTAGATATTAATGAATAAAAAATTAAATGATTAGAAGGAATTAACGATGATGGAAAAGTTTCAGTGAAAAATAGATTATCATACAACGATTCTTTGCAAATAAAAATCTTGATTGCAATTTAAACCATTCAATAACAAATCAATAGCTATGTACTAAACTATTTACATCTAATTCATCAGCGCTAAAATAATGAACAGAATTAATGAATCGAACTAATAGATGGCATCAACATACATTTCATATTAAACCTTAATCCATACAATAGATCGACTAATTTCGATACTACCGAATGTTTTGTTTACAATTTTACAGCTGATTTTGAATGTTAATCCATACAAAATTATCATTTGTCAAAATTTTGGCAAAACTGAGGGTAACAGTCTAGTTATACGGACACAAAACAATAACAGAGGCGTTAATTGAGGCCCCAGGCCATCCAAGCCCAACCGAACCTAACCTAACCTGATTTTTGATGAAATCGCTTTCAAACTTCGATTTCATTTTATTTAAATTTAAATCTTTTGTCATTTTAACGGTTTACATCGGCTCGAGTCCTTTAGATGTTGATTTATTTTACTATCAACTTGTCAGTTAAAATAATTTGCGATCAGTTATGATCGTGAGTCAGTTTTTTATTCAATTATAAAGATTTTATTCATGGAATTTTAAGGATAAACATTTCAAATGGGTCGTACAAGAATTGAAATATATTTTGAATAATATATTAGTCTTTAGTTACAAATGCAGTGCTTTACAAACAGCAGCTTCGAACAAGACTTTAGCAATTTTAGATTTTTTTTTACTAGCCAATGCATTAAGTATATCAAAGATGTTTGGACAATGCCATGACTTTATTTGATCTGTTGAGTAATCCAAAAGTTAGTAAACACCTTTTATGATAACTAATTGTTATTACTTACCCTTGAAATTGTGAGCAAATTTTTTGATGTCGTCACCAACATGGTCAATACCTTTCTTTTTTATATCTTTGATGATTTCTGTAGTAAACCAGAATTGTTAGTATCTGAAAGGTTGCCTCTTCATCGGTATATATTAATATAAATTGAACTTACTTTCCATGTCATCATGGATATGTCATCACGCTTTGATCGGTTAACGCTGGCTGCATAAGCAAAACCTGACAAATTGGATGATAATTTTTGTTCAATTAGAGTTGTGGATTGGGTTTATTAGGTTATACAAATGTATCAACTTACCAATGCATAAAGCGAGAGACAAGATTATTAAGAATCGCATTTTGTAGGTTGGAGTTGAACTGAACTGAGTCAAAAGTTAAACTGATTCGCAAGTTGGAAATGAAAATAAAGTATTAAAAACCATTGATTAACCTCTTTTTATATGCATTTATACACGTATCACAAAGTATCCAAGATATCAAGATATCTAGAAACAACGAATTGGTCTAAACAATCGGTTTTGCATTCTTTCCTAAAATTGATAAGTTCTTATGAAATTTGGTTTCGAAAGAATTT